AGTCCTCTTGTGGATCAAAAACTAATTAATTGGAAACAGAGAGTGAGTATAAATGGGCAATTTTCACAGTGCAGGGTGGTAAGCAGTGGGGTACTGCAGGGATCAGTACTGCGTCCACTAAACACTAAATTGTTCAGGGTGGTGAGAAACGGAGGATAGTGAGGCACTCCAAAGGGATCTGTTGAGGATGGGGGAGTGGGCGTCAACGTGGCAAATGGGGTTGAGTGTGGCCAAGTGCAAAGTGATACACATTGGGGCCAAAAATCCTAACTATAAATACACATTGATGGGGTCCAAACTGACGGAGACTGACCAAGAGACAGATCTTGGAGTCGTAGTAGATAACTCAATGAAAATGTCAAGACAGTGTGCGACTGCAATAAAAAAGGTCAATGCTATGCTGGGGATTATTAGGAAGGGAACTGAAAACAAATCAGCCAGTACCATAATTCCCCTGTATAAATCGATGGTGTCACTTCATTTGGAATACTGTGTGCAATTCTGGTCACCACACCTCAGAAAGGATATTATAGCATTCGAAAAAGTGCAGAAAAGGGCAACTAGAATGATAAAAGGGTTGGAACACTTTCCCTATGAAGAAAGGTTAAAGCACTTGGGGCTCTGTAGCTTGGAGAAATGACAGAGGGTTGACGTGATCAAGTTTTACAAGATGACGCGTGGGATAGAGCAGGTAGAGAAAGAAGTACTTTTCTACCTTTCTCACTATACAAGAACTTGTGGGGCACTCCATGAAACTCGTGAGCAGTTGGTTTAGAACAGATAAAAGGAAGTCCTTCTTCACCCAAAGAGTGATTAACACATGGAATTCACTGCCACAGGAGGTGGTGGCAGCTACATGTATCGCCAGAAACCCTGCAAAGCTGTTTGACCAGAAGGGGCTAGCAAAACGGGTGTGTCGATTCTAGTGTGGGAAGCAATGCCTTTCCTTCAGAGCCCTTGTGGCCCAATTGCCCGTCTGTGGAACTAAGCTTTGCCTTGGATTCACACGGAGATCAGTCGTTTTTGAGATTGTATCCCATTATTGCCTTTCCCACTCTCTTGTTGACTATAAAGGGAGTGAAAAAGGCAGTAATGGGATACAATCCCAAAAACGACAAATTATAGCCGAATTACAGCAAGGAGAGACAAACAGAGGTGGTTTGCCATTGCCCGCCTCTGTGAGAAACCCTGAACTTCCTTGGTGGTTTCCCATCCAACATCTAACGAGTGCTGATCCTGTTTAGCATCCAAGATTTGATGAGATCAAGGCATATTAAACAATGAAAAACCACACAGCAGGAACAGTACAAAGCATGCAACCAACAGTGAATAACACTGGGTCACAAAATTAGAGAATAGCGCACTAAAAACAGTCCAAGAAATGCAAAACTAGCAAAAAATGCAATAAAACGGCATAATCCATACAAGGAACAAAGCAATGAAAACTATGGATTCAGTTTCATCAACGTTAAATCCATTCCCCATAACGCCCTCTGGAACCATTCTGCATTACACATTGCGTGGCATGATAAAAACGCTCATCAGGCTGACCACTCGGCTGGGGGACTGGAGCAGGCCGAGACCAGAGGCAGAGGATATTTTCAGGTGGCTGCTTGAAGGGAGCGTGCATACCTCCTACTTTCCTCTCTGGGGGAACGGATTTTGTATCATCAGAAACCCTGCAAAGCTGTTTGACCAGAAGGGGCTAGCAAAATGGGTGTGTCGATTCCAATGTGGGAAGCAATGCCTTTCCTTTAGAGCCCTTATGGCCCAATTGCCCGTCTGTGACTGTGGAACAATGAGTCAGGGAAGCCAATGGAAGGGTCATTTCGTAGAAAAAGAAGTGCAGGAGCTCATTAGCATAAATTATTTGCATATGCCACACCCCCTGACATCACCAGAAGTGTGTCAGACGGCAACACCCACTGCTCAGGCTACTGGACTGTTTTGGATTGCTAGCTATTGGGGGGGGGGACGTGCAGATCTGTCCTTGCAGAGGAGGGAGAGCTTGTGCCTGAATAAAACTTGGGTCTTAAAGGTGCCACTGGACTGTTTTGGGCTGGGGAGCCGGGGGGGGGGGGCTCTGCAACTTACCTGGCTGCTTCTTGCTCTGAGGGCTGCTGGGAGCAGGGGATGGGGCTTGTTGCATATGCCCGCCCCCTGGGCTCTTTACTGCTGGAGCTCCGCTCCTGTGCACTCCTGCAGGAAATGAACCTTGAGCAGCATCAAGCGTGGTAGGTAGGGAGCTGTGACTCCTGAAAGCTCCTGAGAGCCAGTTTGGTGTAGTGGTTAAGTGCGCAGACTCTAACCTGGGAGAACCGGGTTTGATTCCCCACTCCTCCACTTGCACCTGCTGGATGACCTTGGGCAAGCCATAGTTCTGTCAGAGCTGTTCTTGAAAAAGAGCAGTTTCTGTCAGAGCTCTCTCAGCCCCGCCTACCTCACAGGGTGGCTGTTGTGGGGAGGGGAAGGGAAAGGAGGTTGTAAGCCGCTCTGAGACTCCCTTGGGTAGTGAAGGGCGGGGTATGAATCCAATCTCTTCTCTTCTTCTCCTGCCCTGAAACTCTTCTTGGTCTTGAAGGTGCTCTGGAACTCGAATCTGGCTGTTCGTCTGCCGACCTACATGGCTGCCCTCTGAAAATTAAAAAGAGGGGGGATCCTAGGAGAGGTTTTTGGAACTTTAAATGGTATAAGGGAATGGGAGGGACGGTGGAAGATCCTGCTTATTGGCTGGCTGACAGCACTGAATTTTCCCCTCAGCTCTGCCTAGCGGCCCTGATGGTCAGTAGCCAAAGGGCTCTTGTCCTTTGGCTATTAGGCTGAGGCTTATAGTTCAGAGCTGAGCAGAAGATTGACTAGCAGAGAGAGAGGAAAGACCGGCTTGGCACTCAGAAGACCCTCTCCCCTCCTGTTGTTTTGGTGTACCCAGTTTGGTGTAGTGGTTAAATGCGCAAACTCTAATCTGGGAGCACCGAGTTTGATTCCCCACGCCTCCACATGCAGCTGCTGGGTGACCTTGGGTCAGTCACAAGTTCTCTCAGAGCTGTTCTCTCAGGAGCAGTTCTCGAAAGAGCTCTCTCAGCCCTGCCTACCTCACAGGGTGTCGGGTGTGGGGAGGAGAAGGGAAAGGAGATTGTAAGCCACTCCGAGACTCCTTCGGGTAGTGAAGGGCGGGGTATGAATCCAATCTCTTCTTCCTCCTCTTTTTCCTCTTCTTCCTCCTCCTCCTGTTGCATTTTTTTTTCAGTATTGGAAAATGGGTCTCCAAGAAAAGCAGGTTATAAATAAACAGGAACACAAACGCCTTTCTCCTTCTGTGTTTTACAGAAGACTAGAATGTGGCTAAGTCTGTCGAGAGCGGGCTGAGGAAAGGCACAAGAGGCAGCCAGTGTGGTATAGCAGGTGCAGAGACGAGGCCTGCGGAGACCTGGGTTCAGGTCCTCCCTCTCTGCACTCCTTGGAGGACGGGTGGGATAAACATGCAGCCATGTAGTTTATATTGTACAATACATAATTAACTATCCCCCCAAATTGATGGCAGCCATTAGCGCAAACAGCTCGAAAAGGGGACTAGGCAAGTGCATGCAGGGGCAGCTGCTATGGGCCTCGTGTTGCGTGGAGTTCGACTGACCCTAACCCTGACCCCCAAAGGAGGGGGGAAGCTGGCTCAGCAGCAGTGGACTGCTGGTGCCCACCAATGCTCCCTCTAAGCTGTGGAGTCTTGTGAGCAAAAATTCTACTTTGTGAGCTACTGGCATTAAAGCTGTGAGCGAGCGATTTGGCTGCTGCATACATTAGTTTTCTCTGGAGCCATCCTTCCTGAGCTAAGGCAAAAATCTGTGAGCTGGAGGCTAAAATACTGTGAGCTAGCTCACACTAACTCAGCTTAGAGGGAACACTGGTGCCCACCCCATCCAAGGCTCAGACAGCCAGTTCTTGGTAGCAGGAGGGGCTCCCACCTGTCTCACAGGTGGCAAGGGTGACCACTCGCCACGTGCTTGGACCCCAGTGACGGTGTGTTGGCCCCGCGAGGGACCCTGCAGACGGTGGCAGCGATTCTGGGGGTCCCCATCCTGGATTTCTGCACAAGGCCACGGAGTCACTAAGACCACACCTGGCTGAATTCTATCAAGGGCAACTAGCCGGGAGGCCAAAATGGAACCTCCACGTGCAGAGGCATTGATCGGAGATCTTGGTGTGAATCCGGCCTAAACCCCTGGGTCGACTCCAGGATTCAACCTGCTGAAAGAAAGGAAGCCGCGACCCACCACTATGGGCGGCCTGCGAAGAGGAGAAATTGGTTACAGCCGTCCTGGGTGCCAAAGCCCACAACACAACCCGCGCAATGTTTGGGGACCAGCCAGGGCTGGCCCCAGCTTATTTTGCACCCTAGGCGAGGAACACTTCTGGCGCCCCCCCTGCGCCCACCATCTTTCAAAAATAAATGCATTTTTGGAAGAATGAAAAACACAAATAATCAAGAAACTCTCAGAGTACGGGGCTGGGTGCAATTTGGCTCCCCTAAGGGCCGGCCCGCTCTAGGCGATCGCCTAGTGAGTGAGCCAGCCCAATGATACAAAGCAACGTGCAGGCTTTCGAGTCCCTCCAGAACTCTTCATCAGACCGAATGCCAAGAGAGGAAACCGTCCAAAGGTTCACCCACACCAGCTCCTAAACCCCCGCCCACCACGCGCGGCTCCTGCCCGCGCCCCACCCGGGCCATGCCAACGACCCAAAGCCTGAAAGCGAAGCCAGGCGTCCTGCTCTTCCCCCCGGGGGGGGGTGGGGGGGGGGGGGGGGGGGCGTTACTGGGTCGCCAGCAGCGGGCGGCGGCGGCAGCGGCCCGGTGAGGACCCGCCTTGCCTTCTGCGAGCCCTGCGTGCCAGCCAGCGGGTCTGGCTCCGCCTCCGGGGGGCGGCCCTCTGCGCCTGCCTGGCTTCCTGCAGGAGGGCGGACGCGCGGCTCAGCCCCGGGAAGCAGCAGCGGCAGCAGGAGCGGCGGCGGCGGAGGGGCCGGGCGGCCGGTGCCGCTGTCCGATCTTCGGCGCGGGAAGGTCCCCCCGGGCAGGCGGGGCGCGGAACGCGCGGCCCACGCTGGCCGCCTCGCCGCTCAGGATGGCCCGGAAGGTCCCCCGGGCGGAGGTGTGCGCCGACTGCAGCGCCCCAGGTGAGCCGCCGACGGGCCTGGCCTGCAGCCGCAGCCCCGGCCAGGTAGGGCGGGCGGCGGCGGAGGAGGAGGAGGAGGAGGGAGAGCCTGCCTGGGCGGCGCGCCCGGCCGGGCCTGCTGCAGGGAGCGATGCGCCTGGAGCCGCAGGGTTTCTCGGGGAGGCTGGCGTGCACCCCCCCCCCAGCCCGGCGCCCGCGGGCCCCCTTGCCGGTCCAAGAGAGTGCCCGGCTATCCCGAGGGCTGCCTTCCTCTGCTCTGCGCCGATAGAGCCCGGGCACGGCTCTCCGAGGACTGGAACGCGGGCCTCCGGGGATCCACCCCCCCCTCCATTTCCCTGTGGCCGGATCTAGGATCCAGGCGGTTGATTCTGGTTTGATGGCAACGGGCGAGACCCAGTAACAACCCTTCTTCCCCCGCCTGTCACCCCTTTCCCATCCTGGTTCCCCCTCGCAGGCCTGGGACGCAGGTGTCCTGGCACCTTCACGGCCTGGGCAGGGCCCGTGGCCTGCTCTGCTCTTTGCTGCCTACCCCCCCCGTCCATTTTGCCTCCTTCTGAATGGGAAGAGAACCCAGGAGTCCTGGCACCCCATCCCCTCACTTGCTCTCTTCAGTGGCCCTTGCAGATGGCGCTGGGCATCCTGGTTTTCACTGTGGCCTGACGTTCCTGTTGGGGAAACTGATTTCCTTGGGTCGACGACCTCCCCCCCCCCCCATTTGTGTGTGGGGTGTCCTCCGTTCCATGCGGTAGCAGGTCAGAAGGACACTTGCCTTGGGGAGTGGCTGGCTGGTGGAGCCTTAGGTCTCCAGCCATTGTTCCTCCTTTCCCCAGGTTGCAGTAGAGCGAGTCCTTGGTTGCTGTTCCCAGTTCCCAACTGGTTAAAAGGATTCCTTTTGCTTGGGAGGTGCCCAGAGCGCTCCCTTAAAGGACTGGAGGAGAAAGCATTTAGGAGGTGGAATGCCCACCCAGCAGGGGGCGGGCTGGAGCTGCAGCTTGGCCCGTGGGGATTGGCGGAGGCCTTTCCAATGACCCTATCGTGTTGATGCTGTGTTTGCTGTTGCAGAAGGAAGGGGCTGGCCTTGAGCTGGGGGGGGGGCGGCGGCAAGGTCTTTGCCTCTAGTTTGAGACTTAGGGCAGAGCTTTGCTGAGGTCTGCCCTGATAAACTCCCTTACTTCCCTTTGAAACATGCAACTTGGCTTGTTTGCTGGAGCTCTTCGCAAGTTGCTCCTCACCTTTGCATTTGATGTGTGGGTTTGACCCCACGAAGTGCGTTGTGTTGGAAATGACATGGAAGTCCTCTGTGTGTCAGGCCAAAATGTGAGGGCCTGTTCACAGATCTTACAGTGGGCGGGTGAGGACCAGGCCTTGTGGTGTGAGAAAGAGCGTGTTTGGGTGGGGATACCTTTCTGTCTCTTATGGAGAGGGTCTGTGGCTACGCATGGTTGTGACCTTAGATCTCTGTGAACAGAAGTCCTCTTCCTTAGAAGATCTGGTCCTGGAAAGTCTTTGCTGTTGCTCTTGATTTTTCAGACCTATCTAACTGCCTGTTGTTGGAACCAGAATACTGACATGGACGATGGGGTCCAGCGAGGCAATCTGTGTGTTCTTTGGTATCTGTGTGACACAGTCCGAGCAGTGCTTACCAGGGCTGTCGTTCCCTCTAAGCTGAGTTAGTGTGAGCTAGCTCACAGTTTTTTAGCCTCCAACTCACACATTTTTGTCTCAGCTCAGGAAGGATGGCTCCAGAGCAAACTAATGTATGTACATGGCCAGGGTCTGACATACCTGAGGGACCGCCTTTCCCCATACAGACTCCAAAGAGCACTTCGGTCGGGGTCACAGAACCGTTTAGTGACCCCGGGCCCTAAAGAGGCCAGGCTAGCTACTACGAGGGCCAGGTCCTTTTCGGTGGCGGCCCCTATCTGGTGGAATGAGCTCCCGGAGGAGATCAGGGCTCTGTGGGACCTTTTACAGTTCCGCAGAGCCTGTAAGACGGAGCTCTTCCACCAGGCTTTTGAATAGGGGCCGCCGCCGCCACTACCACCACCGCATATATGCGGAGCAGGATTGTCAGGAGAGGCTAATGAGAAACTGGAACATCATGGCTCATGCCCGTCCCCCCCTTCTGATTCGATCTTGGACCTCTTTCTGACATGTAATGGAGAGTGTGTAAGTCTAGTCCTCCATGTATCTTGTGAGCTGTGAATTGTTTTAACTTCTGCTGTTTTAATGTATCTGTCTTATAGCACTTTGTGCCCTGTAAGCCGCCCTGGGCCTGCGTGCGGGGAGGGCGGGATAGAAATGGAAATAAATAAATAAATAAATAGCAGCCAGATCGCTCACTCACAACTTTAATGCCAGTCGCTCACCAAGTAGTTTTTTTGCTCACAAGACTCCACAGCTCAGAGGGAGCATTAAAACATAAGAACATAAGAGAAGCCAATGTTGGATCAGGCCAATGGCCCATCTAGTCCAACACTCTGTCACACAGTGGGCAAAAATACCAGGTGCCATCAGGAGGTCCAGCAGTGGGGCTAGGACACTAGAAGCCCTCCCACTGCTGCCCCCCTCCAAGCACCAGGCATTGGTTGGGATCCAACTCTTGGGTTGTGTGCACATGTGCATGATCCTGATTGTGCTCCCTTACGTTCTGTGCATCGATGTACGAGGTTCTGGGGTGCAGAGTTTAGTCTGCTCTTTGTCTGCTGGTGCCCTTAGAAATATTTGTATGCCAAGCAGTTATTGCTTGCGGGCAGACCCTGGATGATGTGCCAGGCAGTGAGAGAACATCATCTTGTCTGGGTCTTGGGAGTGAACCTTGGGGACTGCCGACACCACCAGAGCACGTTCTTGGTGGAAACCAGAGAGAAGGCTGCCTGTTGAAGCTCTGGAGCTGCCGAGGGAGGAAGTGGCCAGTTGAAGGAGCGGAGGGCTTCCTGTGCAGAGAAAGAGCCTCCGGAGGGTCTTGATGCCAGCATTTGGGCCTATGCTTGGGGCTGGTGCTCAGCTGTATGCTCCATGAGGACCTGCTATGCGCCTGTGGCTAGGAGGAGGGCTGCACTGTTGTTCTTGGTACATGCAGTGAAGATGTTCATCTGAGCACCAGTCGGATCTGTCTGGTGTCCCTACCGGGGAGTTTCCCATTTGCCTCCTTAAGCTGCTGTGCTGAAATTCTCCTGGGGATTTGGAGGCTGAGCGAGGCCTGGGTTTCCCGCTTCCCTCTCTTTATGAATGGTTGGTATGGGAGGGGGATATACGGGGCATTAAGACTCCTGGGGGGGGGGCCTTTGGAAAGCCTTGCTGAACTGTACGCTATCCCAGGGACAGTCTGTGCGTTTCCACATCTACCGTGTGGACTAGCAGCCCATTTTTTAAAAATTTAATGCATTGTATTTTATTTTAAAAACATGCAAAGCTGATGGAGCAAATAAATTGAACGAGAAAGGGTGATGGCGGGGAGCCCATGTAAGCGTGGCCGATGCTCCCTCTAAGCTGCGGAGTCTTGTGAGCAAAAATTCTCCTTTGTGAGCGACTGGCATGAAAGTTGTGAGCGAGCGATTTGGCTGCTGCCTAAATGAGTTTGCCCCGGAGCCCTCCTCCCTGAGCTGAGGCAAAAATGTGTGAGCCAGAGGCTAAAAAAACTGTGAGCCGGCTCACACTAACTCAGCTTAGAGGGAACACTGAGCTTGGCCATAAAATTTCATATTATTAGGAATATCCCTGTTAAGAACAGTGACTGAAATGCAAAACTTCTGCGCCTGCCTGCCTGACTCATGGGTACATGCAAAGAAATGTGCTTTCTGAATATAGCACAGCCCCGTATTTGATCCCACCATGGTGCGGTCTCCAGTGGTTACAATCTGACAGGAATAGGTCCTGGGCTCATACTTTGCCTGGAAGCCCCAAGCCATCTTTCTGGCTTGGCACTCCCCACTCCACACACACACACACACCGCCACCAATGTTCCCGCTAAGCTGTGGAGTCCGGCGAGCAAAAATACTACTTTGTGAGCCACTGGCATTAAAGTAGTGAGCAAGCGACTTGTCTACTGCATAAATCAGTTTGCTCTGGAGCCCTCCTTCCTGAGCTAAGACAAAAATGTGTGAGCCAGAGGCTAAAAAACTGTGAGCTGGCTCACACTAACTCAGCTTAGAGGGAACACTGCCCGCCACTCTTTAAGCCTTCCGGAGCTGAGGATGGTCACTGCGGGGCAGGAGGGTCTCGCTCGGGGCTTGGCTGAGCTGCCTTCTTTTCCTTTGGACTTTACCCGTTCTGTTGAGATTTTTTTTAAAAAAAATGGATTCTCCTAGTTCTGTGGGCTCTGTGAACTTGACTCGATGGCTGGCTGAATAATAATATTTATTTAAAATATAGCACCAGTAACGTGAGGTGCTTTACAGAGGGAGGGTCCATGCCCTGAGGTGCTTGCAGTTAACAACTGGACTTAGAGGAGGGCAACAGAAGAGAGGTCAGGAGAAACAGGGCAAGAAGGTATATGTATTCCTCTTACAGACAGAGCAGCTGTCACCAGGTAGGGAACAAAAGGGCTGAGTCTGGCTTGTGGGTCCCCTGCGGGTGCCCCGCGGGTCCCACTGATCACTGCAGTCCCCCTCCCTCACTGGTGTTGGCTCTTCTGAGGGCACGCAGGGATCTTTGCACAGCTGGGAGAGCCCTTGTCTGCCCCAGGGGCTTTGGGGATAGCTCTCCAGGTCAGGACTGCCCTTTGAGGCAGCAGCAAGGTAAGAGTGGGGCCGGCAGATAGGTCTCCCCAGCGGGTGTCTCCATGACAGGCCGTGCCGTGCCAACAGCTCCTGTGGGCAGAAATTGCCGAGATCTGCAAACGCGACTCTTCGTCACCATCTGTGCCGGATGTGCCCACGCTCACCCTCCAAGATTTGGAAACTGGGAGGAGGGAAGTGCTGGAGATTGACGGGTGCTTGGAGTTCTGCCTGTTGGGTCCCTAGGACTGGGGGAGCCAACCTGGGGGGGCGAGAGAGTTG